TCTGGCGTAAGCCCTGAACTCAAGTAGTAGCTTTGTAGCTGAAAATCTCCTGTGGAAGCAGCCTTACCTGTCCAGCTGGAATTTCGTGTCTGCTTGCTTTTGCTCTATAGATTCCGTCTGATTCTTCCCAAGTGTCTGGGCTTCTAACCATGATTTCTGTTTGGCAGAGGCATGCCAACAAATGTCATCCTTCTGGGAGTGACATGAAGGGCTTCCTGCACAAACCGTATTGGGTCAAGAGGTACAAATTCAAGGAAGTATCGTCTCTTTGCCATTCTGCAGACCATGAGGGTCACTGGTATAACAATGAAAGAATTCACAATCATGAATAATATTGAGGTCTTGATGCACATCTCATTTTAAGATTTGGAAGGAACTACGTGCATCCCAGTGTCAGGACCATGACTCTGATCACAGCACAGCATCTGTTCTGTAGATTTCATTTAAGCCAGTTTAAAATAGTTTTTAAACTGGTAAGATTATTCAAAAACATTTTATATTATTTGTGCTCTCTTGAAAACATTCTTAAAGTAGCTAAAGTTTTCACAATTCTGCTGCAGTGGGTACAGCTGGTCTTGAGGCACAATTTTACTCCTGCTTCTCGTACTCACTTCTGCTGAGACAGGTTTTATAGCCACAAGGATTGAAATTAACCTTCCTAAATTGTTGAGTGTCAGTTAACCTGGCTGAAAAGGACGCAGAGTTCTTTCTATTACAGGTTTTATAGAGATTTTCTGTAACTGTAAAAATCTTGGATTATTCAATGATGGTTTCCAGTTCTGTTCTGGATTATCCTTTTTAAGTGGAACTAAGCACAGGGTTCTCCCTATTCATTAAAGTTTTTTTTAATAGGCGGATATAAGTATTCTGGCTGTCTGCAATACCAGTGTCCCCAATTTTTTTACAGAAGACTTTAAAAAGCAATGTATTTCCACCTTGCAATGTAAAATTATCCCTTACATTTAGTCATCCAAATCCAGACATACTGTCTGACTCTCTGCACTCTGTCGTGACAGGGACAGTATAGACTCTAGCATTAGCTTGCAATAAAACTAAACAAAACCATCATGTTTGCCAACACGGAGAATTGGGTTGAATTTCTGTATTAATAGCTATTTCATTGTCTACCAAGCTTTATATGAAACTTAGCTCTTCTACCTAAACTGCTCCATAAGCTTTGATGCTTATGAAGAGAAAGAATATTCCTTGACATTATTTTAGGAATGAATCCTATGGAAGGTAGGGGTTTGTGTTTGATACTTGGTCAAGTACAGTTAAGAGGGGGGAAAAGTCAGTTAGGAAGTCTCATCTGCTTGGAAATAGAGATTCCAAGTCTTTCCTAAAGGAATTCAGTCCATGCAGAAAGAAGTGGAATGGGACTCTAGCTGCTGAGTGACCTGAAGGGAGTCTAATGAATACGTGGTGCTGGAGAGCTGTGCAGCCTTTCTTTTCTTTATCAGAGCGAGGATTCACCTTCAACTCCTTGTTCACCTGCATAAAGCCCTTCTGGGGGAACCCCGGATCATTTCATTCGTTCAGTGTGGTAGTGAAATTAGTGACTGGTGCCAAGGATTGGTTTGTTTTCCTTTTTTAGGCTTCCTTTTACAGTCCTTGAGGGCAGTACTTGCTTCAGGACAAGTGTCTTCTAAGCCTTACTGATGTCAGGTGAAGCAGTGGTTTCACAGCAGCTGAAGTAATTTGTGAGATGGCATTTGACCTTTCTGTACCTGAGCTGGTGTTGCAGAGGGATGCTCTCCTCTGAGCGGAAAGGCTGTACCCTTTCTTTTGAATTATCCAAGAGACCATTAAAAAGAGGAGGAGTTTTATGTAAGGGATGTTGCACTGCTTTGTGAGAGAATGTTAACTCTCTGTGCTGTGCACGGGAAAGCATCAGCGTATTTTAATGCCTCTTGTGTACATATAATGAAAAGAATTATCAGATGTTGACACAGAGAACTGAGACTAGTCCTTTCTTTCTTTCTCTCTTTTTTTTTTTTTTTTTTTTTTGTTTACAAAATGTTTTCTAATTCTTATTTTGTGTGTTTATTATATCCATGTATTTATGAGTCTGGGTTATCAGGGTCATTCTGATGACTGGTTTTTTTTTTTTTTTTTTTTTTGGCTAGACAAAGCTGTCTGAATATCCTCTCATCTGAGTGCTTGGCCACAACAATTTCTGTTCTGAGTCACATTTTAACCTAGCTTTGAAAAGTCTTATTGTTCATGTCAGCTGTCATAACCAGAACAGTTCTTCTGTCCATGAAAAGAATGGAGACCCTATTAGGACACTGAGGGGGTTTTGCCAGCTGTTTGGTGTTTTTCTCATTTTGTATCATCAGTTCCATTGGGAATACTGGGATTTGTATGTACTGCATACAGCTGTGTTAAGTAAAGATACCAGATCTGTCTTTAAATCCTTCAGGTACCGAGGTTGTTTTCAGGCACTAGTGTTGCCACAGCAGCATGGATAACTTGGCCAGACTCTGTGCTGTAACTACTGCCAGCACCCAGACAGCAGAACTAGATTTAAACTGACTGGTGTTGCCATTTGTGCTAGCGATGAACATTGGTTTCATTTGTTCAGTAGGTTTGAACAGAATAAAACAACAACCTATTCCTCTGTCCTCGGTTTAGATAATGGAAGAGTTTCTGGATTCAAGTCTTTATGTTAACAGCTGAAATGGTGAGCTAAGGATTGGCTGGGACAAGTTACATGACAGCTGTGAGTAAGGGCTTCTTTGATGAAGCGTGGCTTTGTATGAGATCAGCATACTTAGTAAGCGCTCATGAAGTTGGCTTGTTCTGTTCTGGGATTGCTTGTTTCTGTGAGAGTCTTTGAGTCTCCTGCTAATGTGCAGGAGCTAATTGCTATCTGACAGCATCCACTTTTCGCCCCCTATCCCTTCCAGGAACACCTCAGCATGCATGTGTTTGGCCAGAATTGGTGGTACTTCCGAGCCAGAACAACTCTTTCTCCCTCCTCAGATCTTCAGAAAAGTGTTCCATAAGAAGCAAGGCTGATTTTCTTAAGATTCTTGGTTATAAAATGAGCATGCTCTATGGCATCTCAGACTTTGTAAATTTCTGCAGTTCTCAGGCAAGAAAGAAGGGTGTAGCTCTGATTTTGCTGAGCTGGAGTAGAAGATGCCTGATTTGCTTTACAGCTTGACACTTCAGGACCTGTCTTAGGCTTGGGGGTGAAGCTGGTCCTGTGATCTCTACGCAGCTTCATTGATTTGAGGTCAAAGCTAAAAGTGGCCGTTTCTCTGTGTGAAATACTTGGTGGCACTGTTCTGTCTCCAATGCCCGTGAATGGCCATAGCCCATGTAATGGACATGTGCTGCTGACCTTGGTGCTTGCTTACCTGCTGCTGGCATTTGTTCTAGATAGCATGTATGAAGAAATTATTTTCCTCCTGTTCTTATTTACAGGTGCTTATGCTTGGCTTTCTTAGGGACACTGCAGTCTCCAAAACTTACTGATAATGACAAAACTGGGGCGGGAGGAATTGCTTTAACAGTTCACCCTATTGCTAGAAATTTATGCAACCTCAGCTCTTCAAATCATTTGTGTCCAGAGCACCAAGTGTCAGGAACACAATCCTACAAAACATACACATGAGTGTTGTTGGTTTTAAGGGAAAGACTTTAGCCCTGTGATGACTTGTGCTTGTTGCCATGGTTTCAGGCCTGAAACTTGGTTAGGGATTCTGCACTGGTAGATGTTTGCAGGCAAGGCCTGCAAAAGGCATGTATGCCAGGGTTATGCGTGTAGGTAGTTCAAAAGGTGCCTTCTACCAGTGTTTCGTTTTTGGTTTGGTTTTTTTTTTCTGGGGTGGTTTGTGGTTTTTTGCTTTGTATGTTGATTTAGCAGCACTTTCAGCAATGGCATGGTACATCGTGATCTTCACAGCAAGAGAGGTGGGGGATTGGGGCAGTTGAATTTGGTGTATATAATTAAGGTCCCTCTGTTGTTCTGACAGTGCTTTAAGCAATTTACAAAACACATTTAAAGCAGCAATATGATAATTTCCTCAGTGTCAGAAGACCTAAGCCTGTCTTCTAGATACGAGGGGATTAGGGCTGGGTGCTTACAGTGTGCATAGTTAGTGACATGCTGCGAGCATAGAAGGTCACTGACAGGCTTCAGTAGCATCAACCAAGCAGAAGCTGAAGACTTAATGGCCCTTCTGTATCATATGTTACTACAGCATAATTCAGTAACCTCTGAAATATGCTTGGATGTCTTGAGGCTGAGTGCTACAGTAACATTTACTCCTGACAAGAACAGTACTGTTGGCAATATTTCAGTGTTTTCCTTATTCCCACTGCTAAACCCAACAAGATAGGCTACACTAAAATAGGATTCATTATTTGTGTTCTTGTTAACTGCTTGTAAAATATAAAAAGATTACCCTGCTAGATGAAGCTTCTATGCTTTCAGGACTATCAAATGCCTGCAGAGTAAACCTGGGACAGCTGCCATGAACAACAGCAGGCTCTTCTAGAAGTAATGTGGTACTTCACTGTTCTCCTGGTAGCTGAATTAATAGTTTGCTGCTTTGCATCAACGCGTGGGTTCCCAGCCTTCCTATGAGGGTCTGTCAGTTCTATGAGGAGCTAAGGTCTAGTCACCCTTGCATTTGATGTAGATACAGCACTGTGTTGTGATCTGAAAATTAAAGAGCTGTAGCTAAGTCAAGTCAGGCTCTCCATAGAGAGAGAGTTAAACTGCATCTTGTTCAAGTCTAACCTTTCCCAAATGTGTATGATTTCTAAATGCTCCTTCAGAATTAAGACTACAACGCGTTTTTACAAGTAGATAACCAATTAACAAAAATACTTGGCTTTGGGTTGTCCTTGCTATTACTTTTTTACCGTGAACTGTCACTTCAAGTAGCATAGGGGCCTTACAAATGGCACTGCTCTGATCATAGCTTCTGCTGACCTCTGGTTCTCCCTTCAGATGTTAGTGGAGGGAATTTTAATGGAAAGGCTCACATCAGCATGGAGACTGAATGGGAATACTCACCTGGCTATGGAGGCTGTAGGAGGAGGACATGCTGGGAAACAGAACCCAGATGAGCAAGTCAAGAGAGACTCCAACACATCTGTCTGTAAGTTCTGTCTGTTCACATGGTACCCACAATTTGGAAACAACACAAGGACAAGTCCGGGTTCACAAAGTTTGAGGTCCTTTTCTCTCATTTGCTCCTCTACTTCCTTTGTCCCGTGCTCGTGCCTTTTTGCTCTTTTTTTTCCTCACTTTTATGCCTCTTTCTCACTTGCACATTTTTTCTTCCTTTGTTGTTGCTCTTACACACTTCACAAGCTTTTTTCTTGCTTGTGCTTTTTCCTCTTTTTTCCTCCTTTCTTGATCACGCTTTCCCCCCACTCCCAATTTGTTTATGCTCTTCCTGCTCTTTTTTTCTTTGCACTTGCTCTCCTTTCTACAGTTACAGATCTCATTGAGAAGAACCTTCTAGGATTCATGCCAGGTCAGTTATTAATGATGTATATACCTCAGGATAATGACCAAAACCAGTAACAAACAGTTCTCAGAGGCTGCTACAGGTTTGACAGAAACACAATCGCAAGCAAAATTTGGCTTTTTCCCAACTGGAAATGCTGACTGCAAGAATTCGGTGGAAATGTGAAGGAAAGAGTAATATCAGTGTCCAGATACAATATTGATACAATGCTGTATCCACAGATACTGTGATACACTATTTGCTACAAAATATCCAGATGCCCCCCTGCATTTGCAGAATTTGAGTATGTAGAAGCAGGAAATGTACTCCTTTCTAAGCGTTGCTTATCTTCAGATTACCTGGGGAGGAGGTTCCTAGCACTACTAGAAAGAGCAAGGAATTGATTACAATTGTAAAATTACAGGGTGGAAGACAAACAATTATTTATAAAGCTGATTGGCAGCAGGGCCAACAGCATTCAGTGGTGAAAGGGAAGCTACATGGGTGGATTCCGCTGACTTTTGACGCTGCAAACACAAAAACAAAGCTTATGGCTGATAGATTTGTTTTTATTATTATAGAACAGATGAACTAAAATAAGCCAACAATATAATTTTATGCCAACAGCCATCTTTCTAGCACAGGCGGTGACTGACTCATTGTACCCTTCTCCCCCCTCCCCGGGCCTCTGTTCCATGGGAAGCAAATGGTGGTGGCTCTTGCACATGGGGTTTGGACTCCAGTGATCTTACTCTTTTTATTTGGAGAGGTGTGCCTGGGAAAAGAGGAGGCAGGGGAGCAGAGAAAAGAGTATATATGTTGTAGGAGCAATAAGCAGAAAGGCTTGTGGATCCTCTTGCACGTTTATGTGTTGTGACCAGGTAGATGGGACAACTGGGGAATCATGCCCACTTTCAGCACATAGCAAGCCCCTAGTTGCTACTCTAGTCAAGCCAGGAGTTTCTTCCTGTTCCAAGCTAACAAAGGGCAAGATGCGCTCAACTGGGGAGTTTTTGGCAGGGTAGGGGGCAGTTTATGTAAAACCAAACCAGAAAACCACCCCCACCCCCGAAAAAAACCACCCCAAACAAACCTGCATTTTAAGCCACTTCAAAGTAAAAGTCACTTCTTATAATATAATAGATATTTTTTTAAATGGCAGGACCACCATCCTAGAAAGACGAAGGGCTTGCACTCAAGACCAGAGAAAGAAAAACAAAAAACCAACCAAACAATAAATGAAAAACCAACCAAAAAAACCCAAGAGTGGCCCCACTCTTAAGCTTGGCTCTTCTCTAAAAACAGCACTCATCATCCATCTGCATCAGTAAAAGGAGGAGTGGACAGAAAATAAAATAAAATTGGTGCAACTTCTCGCCAGGTGGCGCATTAAACCAAAGCTCCATACAGTTCCATACGGCTACACGTCCTGTGGTGGCAGCATAATTTCTTTCAGCTTTCATTGCTGTATATGTCTGTATGTATATCTGAATGTATACATACACATACACACAGAATAGATATTGTTTTTAATGTTAGTTTTGATCTTGTAGGAGGGCTCATCTCTCTTTCACGTGGTTCTGTGCTCCTGCGCTGTTGCTGCTCCCGTTGCCGCTCCCGTTACTGCTGCTCCCACTGCTGCTGCAGAGGACCTCTGTGAGGTCGTCCATGATGGTGGTCTCTTTAGGGTCCACGAGGTTGAACTCCCTGATGAATAGGATAAAGTGTGTGTAGAGTGTGTTTAAATGTCCGTGCAGCTCCAGTGCCAAAGTCTCCTTAAAGTGTGAGGAGTAGATATGGGCCAGCACATGGAACAGGTACTTGCAGATCTTCTTCACTAGGGACTCAAAGGAGTTGGGGAATTCCTTGCCTGAAAGGAAGACAGGGAAACACCGTGATAGCTCCAGCTGCTCACTTTCAGCCCCACAGCAGCATTTGTTTGGGCTGAGCAATTAGCCCACTTCATACAGCAAACAACTTGTGGGCCCTCTATCATCCTCTCCTCTTGTTCTTTTTACAGGAATTCAGGGGAAGAACCTAAGGGGGTTTTAAGCAATTTCATTTGAAGTTAAGTTTTAAACGCTAAGGGTTCACAAATCAGGAAGCAAGCGTAATCATTCTTTAAAACCAGAACATTTTTTGTTACTGGCTGCAATAATAATGAGAGGTTCATCTGGGACCTTATCTACTTTGTCCAGGAGTAGCAGATTTTTCCCCTGGAAGTACGTAATGCTTGGGAGACCAACTCACAGATCCTGAAATGGAAGCTAAGGTACACAGGCAGTGTGCAGCAGATTGATTAACTATATGAAAGGACTTTCCTCATTTCATTGTTGAAATTCTATCAAATGGGAAAGGAAATGGAAGGATATACTGGCTGCCTTCTATCAGGTGCAGCTGAAATGGTGCTTGCTGGAGCAGTACTGTGCCTGCACAGTAAAAGACAATTGCTTTGGTAAGACTGAAAGTGAAACTGAGGCAAGCCAAAAAGCAACATCTGCCATCCCGTGTGTGATGCACAGTAGGAAGTATGTTACTGGTCTGAAGTGCCCCTGGGCCACATGGTCAAAACCACTTGCATGAAAGGTCCTCATTACCCTTGAATAACCATATTTTAAATTAAAAAAAAGAGTCAACTGCACCTGGCTTCCTACACACTGCCTCTTTCCAGATCAAGATGCCTGTAAGCAAAGGTTACTAGCTTAACGTTTGCTATATTGTAATGTCCTCGTTCCCCAATTATCTATTGAAACAGCTCAAGACCCCAGCTGCTTTTAGTTGTGATTAAGCCCACCTGTTATAACTTCAGGTCTCTATTTTCCTCCTCTTAACCAAAGGCATTGCATGTAGCGATCTTGTTATGATACAAATTTGAGTTAAAATTACTTTCCTGTTGCTTTTCAATTCTTAAAAATCACATTCTTATTCAATCTTTGGCAGAGGAGGGAGGCTGCAAACAATTTGTGAAACAAGGCCTGGTTGGGCAAGGAAGACATGCCACGTTCCTGGCAATCCAATTTATTTCCCCCTTAATGCATCAGGGGTCTAAAGGAAATAATAAAACAATAACAAGTTTAAATTTTACTAGCAGCAGGCTGCATTGAACACATACGTGTGTCAGTTTTCAAATTGTTACCCTCTCAGAATACAGGCTAGAAGATCTCAAAATGTTTGAAGATGTACTGATGGTGAAATATAAACCAAGGGGACAGGACTGTGAGCCTTTCACCCCAGTTCATATGCCAAGAGTGCAAGTCTTTCCTACTGCAAGAATGAATCAAACCTAAAAGCACACACCCCCAAAAAATTGAAAGCTGTCTGGTATTAAAGCATATGCTGAACACCAACTTTCACCTTACTTAATGGCATCTGCAAATAGCTGCAGGAAGCACCTGTCCAAAAGCAGACGTACCGTATTTTGTTGGAAAGACGTCCTCATCTGTCACTAGTTTCTGCACTGAACTCATGACAAAGTCAACATACTGAGGAGCAGTGCACTTGATCTTCTTTCCCCGCTCATCATACCAGTAGTACTGTCTGTGGAGAGAATTGACAGTGTCACCACATTATACCTTGGCTCCTCAGCTCCACTCCTCTAAGAGGTTAGTGTCTAAATAATATAAAACAACAGCTGCAACATTACCAACGTACATCATAGCTGCTACAGAAGAGATTCACTTAAGGGTATCTTTCTACATCAAAAACATTGAATTTCTGTTAGCTAATTTTGTTTCTCCCTATCAATTTAGTAGTAGTACCGAGCACAGAACACCTGCTGACAGGCCTCCATGGAGAGGAGCTCTACTGAGGCAGTGATCACTCCCTACCGATGACAGACTGAGGGTTTACTTACAGTCTGTAGAACTGTACAGGACAGCATTATATAACTATTTCTAAAGGGGAACAGCATTGCACAGTGATAGACTGATGATCTTCTGATGCTTGACATCAAAACCATGAAATTAGTATTGCAGTGTAATATTATTAAACAGACAGAAGGTGGCTCCAGAACACCGGCTTTGAAGTACTGGCAGCATTTTTAAGTGCCACAAATCCTGTGCCAAAATCCAGTCTGGGGAGAGTTTTCAGGACCCTTCTGCACATCCCTACCAGTGTGCCTTAGAATTCTGCTCCTTTGGTTACAGACTCCCCAAAACATCTACATTTACATTTGACTCAACAACTCAACACCAGCAATTCTGTTGAATCTGAAGGAACAGGAGACATTAGCATATTGTCTGGCTCTTGAAAAGCAACCATATTTCAATCAGTTAGCTGTAATCACCTTGATTAACTGCAGTCATCCGTCACCTGACAGAGGAATCTCAAGGCTACAAAAGCACTGCAGGTATGTTCCTTCCTTTTTTTTTTTTTTTCTTTTAAGTCATGGTTAATTAAAGCATCTCTAACTGTTACCAGGAGCCATCGCGTTAGGCACACTCAGTGAGAAATGTCTTACAGATAAGGGATTGCCTATGTCACATTAGAGGTGTATTGAGTTCCAGTTCCTGAACTCTTCCTTCAAACAGCCTGAGCTCCAGGCGCAGTCCTGTATCATTATGGGACTGATAAGAAATCCATTGTATTGGTCTCCCCAGAACACAGCATAGGTGGCATTTGCTGCCTGCCTTTGGGAGCAAGGCCGGAAGTGGTCTGAGCATCAGAACTTGGCTAGAAAGACACCACCTCATCCAACACATGAGCCCATAAAGCCAGGATAACATTTTTTAGCTGTTGGCTAATCATCAGTTATCTGACATTGCTCACGCAAATCACTAAAGCCTCACTGTAGCCCTAGACAAAATACCACTCCAGTATGATGTTTAGCCACTTCTGCACACCTTTTTTTTTTTTTTTTTGTAATGGAAGATAAAGATTAAATGTTTTTTTCTGTGCCTAACGGGACTAGACTGCATTGAACTGGAAGGATCTATACAGACCACTTGGAAAGTGAAGTTTTATATATACTGACCAGCAGAACAGTCCTGAAGCAACTAAAGAAAAATGTTAAGTAGCAAATAAAAAGTTTTAATTTACAGTGTGTTTTCATTGCCCCGTAAGATTCTTCGGGGACCTGAGGGTGGTAAGGTGAAGACACTAATTGGAGCACCTCAGCTGTGAAGACAGGCTGAGAGAGCTGGGTTCAGCTTTTCCAGGTTTAGCCTGGAGAAGACTCTGGGGAGATATTTTAGCAGCTTTCTAGTACTTTAAAGGGAGAGGGACTCTTATCAGGGGAGGGGTTAACAGTTTTAAACTGAAAGAGGTAAGATTTAGATTAGATGTTAGGAAGAAATTGTTTACTCTGAGGGTGGTGAGACACTGGAGCAGGTTGCCCAGAGAAGCTGTGGCTGCCCCATTCCTGGAGGGGTTCAAGGCCAGGTTGGATGTAGCTTTGAGCAACCTGGTCTACTATGAGGTGTCCCTACCCATAGCAGGGGGGGCTGGAACTACAGGATCTTTAAGGCCCCTTCCAACTCTAACCATTCTATGACACTGTTCATGCTCCAAGCAATATGAAAACAAGAGGAAGCTGCAGAAATAAATAGAGTAGTTCAAACTTTAAGATAGGACGGGCAACTGTTCTAGCTCTGCAGACATTTAAGGTTTAGAATTTTTGTTTCAGCTCATTTTCAGCATGTTGTGCTTGGTCATCCTGTTGTTTACTAGAGAGAGCAGGATTGACTGCAAAAGGGCATAAAAGGTAAGCAAGTGGATGAAAACAGGAGTTAAAAGCATCAAAAGTAGAATTTGGGTCCTTAGGCATAGACTGTGTTCTTCATCACTGCTTACTTCCTTTATACAATCCACATATAAGGAATTATACAATGTAGTGCACAAAACAAAAGCCTCGTCATTTGTCTAGTCCTCCAGTAAGCTGGAGCAAGACAGTTCTAGGCAACTCAGGCTTATTTTGGGTCTTAACACAATGCTTGTTGCCAAGAGCAGAAGCAGACTGGACTGTCTGTACCTCAGCAATTTTCTCATGCTGCAGAAATCCTCAGCTGTAAGATAGAAAGCATAGTTTCGAGTTGCCCTTAGGCACAAAAATGAATCTGAATAATTGGATTTTAGTTAAAAGAAACAGTTTGGCAACTGTACAAGTTCACTTACATGAAAATATAAGTTAATAAATCTGCTGTAACATCCCACTGTATACGCTTTTTGCCTGGCCTTGAAAATTAGGCTAATTATGCAAAATAGGAATTTAAGAGAAGACTCATTACGAGTAAGGGGATAACTACAAGGATTGTCCTGTTGGTTAGAATCACATGTCTTCCTGATGTTTCAAGTGCTCTGAACAGAGCCTTCACAGGTCTTGGAGGAAGAGAGGAGCCCCTGACGTGCCATGAACATTTCATACCTGGTATGCAGCTCCCACCCATGCTGGAGTTTTCTCCATTAACAAGATCAGAAGCAGGTTGGGGCCATTGAAGGGCTTGGTTGGGCACAGAAGCCTAACCATTCTACCACTGGCACTGTGACAGTACAGTCCTGTATTAGGCAATGGATGGGAAGCAGAGAGGACAAGATGACAATGCTTAAAGGCACTTTTCAAAGAGTGCTCACATGATACAGATTTTGATTATTTTATTTCCTGTGTAAAATTCTGGCAGATTTGAACTTCCCCATTCTAAATCCCAGGGAGAAATTACTGTAGGCTTAACAGAGAAAAGCCTGTGGTGTAAATAATAAAGTATAACACATATTGCCCCATCCCAGGAAGTGTTCAAGGCCAGGTTGGATAGGGCTTTGAGCAACTTGGGCTAGTGGAAGGTGTTCCTACCCATGGCAGGAGTGGAACTGTTTAAGGTTCCTTTAAAGGAATCTTTAAGGTCCCCTCCAACCCAAACCATTCTGTGATTCTACCATTCTATGAAGTCACAAAGTGACAGTGTAGCATCTTAAAACATGTACATATTTTATCCCTTTTCCTCTAAAACATTCTGGGTTTGTGTTGATGACATAGATAAGCCATGGCAGAACAGAAGTTATATCTGTATATAAGAAAAACTTACGGAAGAAGAGAAGGGCCTAATGCTGTGGAGGTATGGAAAGGAAGGAGAGACAGTCCTGCTAGAAATACCAAAAGATGGGTTATGAAGAAAGCAGGATAGCAAACTGCATCAAGTGCAAGGGCAGTAACATAGTGCTTGTCAGCAACTCAGAATGGCTTTAATGATTTGATGGGGGCAAAGAAATGTTTAGGTGCAAGGCAGGGGGAAGAGAAAGGAGCCACCATAGCTACCATGTAGAAGCATACAGCTCAGGGAACTTAAATGTAAGAAAATGCAAAAATATGGAAGTTTGAGTTAAGATTTCTAAAAGGAAATACCCTCCATATGCAAAGACACTAAGGGCAAGGTAGATGTAAGAAAAGAGATTGTAAGATTAGAAAAAACGAGTGATAAGGAGTTATAAATTCCTAGTTCATAATAGTACGAATATTTTCATTCAGACTTCAGTGGACCAAAATGAGCCCTTTCACTCTTATCTATCTGTGGGCTGCCTAGAAGTTTGCATCCATCCTTGGTCTCTGCCTCAGAAGTTTTGTAATCTCAGCGTTGGAAACAGCACTTCTGTACACTCTTAAGTACTCCACTGGCTTCAGCACTTACGAGGACTTCTGCCCAAACGTCAGGGAGAAAACCAGTTTACAGCTTATGGTGCTTTAAAGCTAGTTTGTGTAACAACAGGCTATAAAGGATACTAAATACTCCGTTAAAAATCTAGTACCTGCTTTACAGCAAGTGATAAAAAATATTAATGAGCAAAATTAAGTAATTCCTGAAGTTACATTCATGCCACCCTCACTGAATTTTGAAGATAACTGACCATTCTGGTAATTCTCTTGGCAGTATCCCACCTTGCCAGCAAATGTTTCCATCTGTTCTACAAGGAGACTAAGCTTTGGTCAGATGTCTCTTAGTAACCCTACGCACAATTTCTCTTCCTCATTGTGTGCAGTTGGCTGCACTATCTCATATCTCTGACAGAGGGCTGAAAGCTGCATCTGTCTGCAGTTTGTCAGTTGGCTGGAGCTTCTCTGAGATGCTACAACCTTACCTCAAATATTTAACTGCAACTGGTGTTTATTTTGCCAGCAAATCCTCTAAATTTAGGATTGAGTATTTGCAGTGCATTTGAATGCAAAGTAACTTGACAAGCAACCTGTTCTCAATAGTTACTTCAACATCTCAACAGAATACAAAAAGCCTTCCTTAGGCTGACCAGAATGGTGAGATCACAAACATGCCTTAGAGAACTGGGCAGGGAAGACAGGAGGGGAACAGAATGCAGACCTTCATACTGAAGTACTTAGAAATCAGCGCTGAAAAAAAAGGGCAAACTGCACCCTTATTCCAAGGTACTGCAATTCTGTAGCAATCTAATACAGGTAGATGCTGTTTTCTTCCAAAGTCCCTGAACAAACAGATCACAGCCACAGAAGTCAAATCTGAAGTGTCCATCAGGTTAATCAGCAACTGACTCTAATGTTTAGATGATACTCTATATATACTGAAGACTGGTCAGAGGCACAATAAATCGTATCAACTGGTGTTTCTCCAACACAATAAGCATGTCCCTACATTATTGTATTAGGGTAAAATATTTTTTTTTTTAAAAAAAGGGAGGGGGAGGGAGGCGAGTGACATACAGCTTTGTCATAGTCATAATTGGATATGAACACATGCGCATCATTGAGGCAGTTCTCCCTGTTCCATTTAGGCATATCTCTTCCAAAAGGAAAGAGGTAGGAAAGGCAGAAAAAGGCAGAAGATAAAGATTACCCAAAATTGTCATTAGAGATATTTGGAGAACATAATTATGAACAGGGCCTTCAAAGCTGAACTGTATTGAGGTGTGTAGCTTGGTGATCTCACCTCTGTGGTTTCTTATAGACCCACACACTTGATAGAAGAATGAAACATGCAGCTGACAGTTTGCAAACATGAATCAGTCATCTGCCCCCAAGTACAGGAAGATACTTAAGCTGTTATGATTTAGTTAAACACAAACCTTTTCAAGTGCTTCACCCAAGTGTAGACATGCTTCCTGTTATTCCCAAAGAGTGCAATTTTTTCAGTTTTCCAAAACAAAGGATAGGAACATTCTGCTATTGGTCCTCACCACTAAAAATATAGACTACAGCTGGAGCCGCCTACAGGCACTTCCTTTCTTTATTCTGCAGCATAAATTGCTTACAGAGAATTCTTGTTTAAGACTCACTACAGCAGAATGGAGCAACGCTTACGTAGGTTCCCTACCACCACCTCCTTTCAGCCACTATTTCCCATCAGCCAAGTGGATAAACAGTTAAACTCAGTCCTTTGGACAGCCAGTGCTACAGCAGGAATTAAAACATGAGAAAGCCAGGGAGCAAGAGTCAACAAAATACTCATCTCAATGATCACCACTTCTCATTTAGAGACATGCTGTCTTGTCTCCTTTTGATAAAATCTGGGTCCAGCAGAGATTTATTACTTTCTGTTCCAGCCTGCTTTCAAAGTCCCTAGCATGGCCTTTAATTCTCTACTGACAGTTATCTTTCCAACTTTTACATGCAAAAATATCCTCTATACACTTTGCATTCTTCAGAGTGCTCTCAAAGAAAGCCCCTGGTATTAATTTCAAGATAGCCCAGTGCATTAAGCAAGGATTTCTTTCTAAGCACTATATAATAATTGTCAGAAATACAATATATTGCTCTGATTCTGTTGCATGCATTCCCTGGGATGTTTGTTTGATGTACTATAACATTAACTGCTCAGTCTTCTGTTTCAAAATCCACCTCAACTAAATTAATCCCAGGAAATGCAAGAGGAGGGAAGAAAAGGACTATCGACACATGTGCTGGAGAAAAAAACCCACCACACAACAGGCTTATTCATACTCGACTGGATCTCATATTCCATCAAGTTGGACTGTGCTAATCAAGAGCAGGAGTTTATGGTAACTTTTTCTTATATTCACCATGTACAGTGAAACTACAAAGCTTTCTTTCATAAGTGACGGCTAGTCAATGTTAAAAAAAGTCTACTAAGTCCTACAGGGGGAAAGTGCCAAACCAAAACGTTTTCCTTACTCTTTGCAAAGCTGCCACTTGTGTCCTCTGTACCCAGGGGCCTGGGCAGAAAGCCAGTGGCTCACATCAGGCTAGAGGTTATCTGTAAGCAGCCTGGTGCTCTGTCAGCATTCCAGCTCTCAAAAGCACCCTCTGAGGTTTTCGCAATTCGTTTATCCTCCCTGGCCTTCTATGGAATCCCAGCACTGTTACCAGTAAGGACAGCTTTGCCTCTTCTTCCCCTCTCCCCCCAAGCTACACACATGGTAATTTGCCCCTCTGATGTGACCTTATAAAACCAGCTCAGAATAGTCCAAGATTCTCATCCCTCTAATCCTCCACAGAAACAGATTTCCACCATCCTTCACTACTGTAAAAACTGCTGTAAAACACTTGCCCAGTGCCATCCAAATCCAATATCCTCCCCCAAGCAACTCTGAAGACTTCATGGAAACCCAGTAATTGTAAATATGGACTTACGTATTGCACACTGCCATGGTCTGACATGACTCTCCTGTACAGAATTCTGAGATTGTACTATACTGTAAGTTGATGTGATGAAAGAAAGTTGTTGCTGAAAAATAAACACAAAGGAAAGACATTTAGAAGTAAAATACTTTCAAATACTGGTTATCCTCCAGACAATTATTTAAATAGAGCAAGTGAAGTGACCTCAGAGTCTTGAGCTTGCATACAAATTTAAACATGATTTAGCTAAATTAGTCTAATTATGAAGTGCAAAACAAAGAGGTACACAGAATGAAAGCTCTTGTTTTGATTTAAGATGAAAGCACCATGGTGCATCAGCTCTTATTACTCACTAAGCAGCAAGACTGGAAAGTGTCTCCGTCATCAGTCTCACCTTTACAGTAGAATACTCTACTACAAGCTGAAGGCAAACAATTTGCTACGTTCTTTTGAAGTCAGACTTAAAATGTACAGTGGCTAGAAAACAGCATTAATAGTTCTCATGACATATCTCCTTCTAAAAAAAAGAAAAACAGCATGAAAACTAGTACACTTCCACTTTTTAAAAGTCTCCTGAGATAACTTAACTGACATCTTAATACTCAGGGGGCACCTCATTTTTTCGTAATGAGTCTCTATAACTTTCTTAGTTTAAAGTAGTTTCTTGCTACTAGCACATGCTGTTGAAAATGTAAACAAGACTGGGTCATAGCTGCAGGTTAGGACTGGCAGCTGAAGCAGAAGCACAGGAAAATATTGTCAATCAGGACTGAGATGGACAGATACAGCATTCAGTCACAGGAGTCAATCACATCCCTAAATTCCAGCTTGACTACAGTTTAAATTCACAGTAATTCCACCAAAGCTTGGAAGGAGTAAGAAAAAATCCAACCAAAAGTCTTCAAAACTTCTGGTTTTAAGCATACCTTGCTTTACATACGAGTCTTAATAAACTATCATTTTTATGATGCTTCTAGAAGACCAATAGCTCAAGTCAGAAACATGCTAAACCAGCTGCTTTAGCAAATAGTCAAAGGGAATCTGATGGTCCCTCAAAAGAGCATCAAAAACTTTAATGCTCTCAGTGCCACAGCGAGGGAGTTGGAAGAAGGAAATGCATCAAGGCTTCCATGCTGCTGAGCACAGTTGGTTTGTACATAAGACAGCTTAATTACTATGCAAGGTATAATGACATGCATTATGCAGTAAGCATAAATAGTCACTGAGTGTTTTTCTAAGCACTGAAAACAGTAAAAAGAAACAGAATGAATGAATGCCTTCTTGGGTGTGGACAGCAAAGCACAGAGCTGTACGATGGTAATACTCACTGTTGCTGGCTAGCCACTCGTTGAGGTCTATTTCTCGTGGTAACATCACTAGCTCCTTAAATTCGAAGTCAGTAATTCTGGATTTTGTGTATTCTGGCTCTAGGTAAAGTTTCTTCTCTTCCGGTGCTGGCTTTTTACCGTTTGGCTTTCCCTTGGACTTCCTATAAGAGATAAAAAAGGGAGAAGAAAGGTTACCTTTACTGTTGATGAACAGCTACAGAAACCTGAAAGAAGCTGGTTTATCCAAACTTCTGTATTTGTGTTTACACTGCTCCTCCTGCCTTCCATCCCCTTAGCTTAATTATTCTTTTATTAAGGCAAAGCTAGTTTCTTTAAAAGTGTATTTGAATTCAGTCACTTTTTTTCAAGTAACACTGGAAGTTTTGAATGGCATTAAGAAACTTGAGACTGAGCTGCTCTGTCTCCATTGCCCTTCTGTCAGTTTAGATTGGAAATTACTGGGAGAGTGACAGTCTCTTTATGCCTATGAACAGTGGTGACAGCAGAATGGCACTGTGCCTGACGGAGCTGCTCTAATGCAAGTATATGAACAATCTGCTGCATCATACACTTAACTGTCACCTGCAAAACGGGCATTTGAGGGAGAGGAGAAGCGGACTGCTGCAAGAAGACAGCTCTCAGTTGGGAAAATGCTCTTTCCACACAATGTGCTGGCGCTGCTCATTCAGAGCTACAGCATCTCTCGCTACTCCAGCCCTGCCTTCTTCTCAAATACCAGCAGCCTCGTGCAATCGAGCATCTGTGACTCCAGCTAGAAGCACTGGTAACTACAAGAACACCTGCTTCCTCAGCTCCCAGGTTACTTGAGACAGAAAGATCAGTGCTCTTTTTTTTTTCCCTGAAAATCCTTTAAAATCCAATACATTAAGAAATAACCTTCCATTTGGATTTATAAAAGCAGATAAATCACATTCCATAAAATGCATTTATCTCCATGGCATATTGTGCATTTTCATCTGCCATCTAAAGTGTTTGTTGTAATGACTAGAGTTTTCCTCCTAATCTGTTCTTAACATCCTCAAACTAGACTCTCAACCAACCCACATTCCTGGGCCAGGGGTTCAGTAAGGACTCCTGAGGAAGGATGGCAGGTCTGCACTTTGGTCTTTTAGGCTCTGTGGTCAAACAGCTGCACATCCATGTATTTCTACAGTTAAAAAAGCCACCTAACCAGAGACAGAAAATACATGTAATGGCAAGGGACAAGTGCAGTAAGGCAATACTTGCTGTGCATTATCACAAGGAAGAGATACCAGGATTTTTATAATGTCAGACTTTCTCGGTTAAAGAGGTTTTTAAAGATCTGTAAAAGCAAGACAAGCCCACCTTTGCAGATGACTACATTAAGTTTGCTTTTAAAACTCATCTAGATCCCATCCAAAGGAAACTGACCTCACGTTCTGGCTCTTAACAGGCTTTAAATACTTCCAACTGTGCCTCTGTCTGAGACACATGCAGGTTTAATTTTTGCCGGGAGGATGGGATGCACATCTTTCCTGGAATGGTGTTTGAAGTGTTAGTGCTTTCCCCAAATAAAGTATGATTATTCAGATTTCTCTATGGGCTCTTCACTGATCTGTTCATTAAACCCATCTTCATAATGACTCACATTGTCAGCACTGCAGTAAGAAGAGACCGAGATTCACCTTCCACAAGACAGGAACACCCTAACTTAGTATAACTCAGTCACCAGCACTGCCACTGTTCAACATCTTGAACTTGCATTGAATCTCGTTACACTTCTCTCCAACCAGTAAATTAAGACTAGAGTGACTTTAAGACTTCAGGAAGGCCATCAGGCCATCATTAAGGAAAACTTAGTGAGAACGGCATGATATGCACTTATATAAACCACAGATGTGCAGAAAGCACTAGGTCTCTATTACGAAAAGATGGTCACACTTTATTTCCATACGTTAATGAGAAAGGCAGATTAATGAGAAGGAGGGGAACCTGTGTCTTTTTAAACAATACAAATACAGCAGGAGAATCCACTGAACCCAGTATATGTGAAGATTAGTTTAGCACATAGCTACTCTTGCACATTTCCCACCATCTCCTTTTTCCACAGCAGTGTGTTCCAATTCAAATGAAGCCTGCAAGATTTGTTCCTTACATTTATTAATGAAGTAACCTGGGCTAATTCTCATAGCTGCTCCATAGAGGTATGTTTTAGGACATGCAAAGTCAGATGTTCCTCAGCACAACGCTCTTAATACAGAGGGGTTGCTCAGTTAGACCAGTAGCTCTTGGTTGTCAGCTAACTATTCTTGTCTTCAAACCCTTACATTTGCTAGATCTCATTTGAACCTCACCATGTAAAAATAAGCTACAGATAAGAAAGAAAAGTCCATGAAAGTAAGAACTACAGGAAGGCCTTAAAGGGATTTAAAGAAGCTATGAAAAATATTCTTAATTTATGCTTGGGCCTGAGACTTCAGATTTTCACAGAATTTGAAATGATATTCAAGGAAAATGTAATAGGATAAAACAATAGTCTTGTTTAATAGTGTGTAACCTGACTTTATAGCAGATGAAGCAACATGTTTGACCTCTTTCTTTTGCAGGAATACCACGTTAAGACTTGAAACTACCTTACCCTGACAGTCAAGAGCATAAATCCACTTGAAACTATGCACTTGGCCCTGAGCTGATAAAAAATACTCCGGGCCACTGATTTGCTTAATTCCTAGCACAGGCTGCCTTACTCCTACGCTGCTGAAACCAAGCCTGGCACGCTCCATACAGCACCTTCATACCTGCTGGGCCTCTGACAGACAGTATTACAGTCTATTCAGAATACACCGTTTAGGGTTTTTTTTCAGCTGGTTCGGTTTAGTGGTTTGGGGGGCTGGTTTGAGGGGGCAGGATTCAGGCATTCAAGGATAAGTTGACTTTTAAATAAAATTATAGTTCCAGTAACAATCATGCCGAAAATACCTTCAGCTTCACAGACTGGTTCAACAAACCGCATTAATCACACTGGGGAGAAAAGTTATCACTGAGAGGTAGTTTGTATAGAAGAGAGTTTGTGTCTTTGCTTTACTTTTGGATACTTAAAACCAAAGGCCCCAGGTTAGGGCTGTGCCACGTCAGCTAAAAGCACTCTTCTGAGAGGAGGAGGAGGGGGGAGAGAGATGAAGACGTCAAAGAGAGTCTGTCATAGAGCCAGGCTTTGGAGGGAAACCATAGAAGGAAGCCAGACATATGAGGCTGAGGCAAGCCTTCCATTGAACAGAAATAGATAGTGCGTACCTCATTCTCACTTCAGCATCTTCTCCCCATTTCAAGAAAAGAAACAAAAATTCAACACTAAATGTATTTCACAAGAATGCTAATGCAAATGACTATACGTTGTCCTTTTACAAAAACCAAACCCCCTCATTTCCAAACAAATGTCAGCTCTCTGTTAGACTAGTACATGCAGCCACTTTGCATCTTCTTAACAGATTGTGTAAGTCTTTCCACAACCACCTGGTGCTGTAACTGAAGCATTTCAAACAGAAGCTTCCTGAAGGATCCCATGCTCTACCCCCTTCCAAAGCTTTGGCTAAGTTTAAAAAAGAACCTGACTCATGGGTATCATCACTGAACCTGCAAAATGCCCATAATCACTGATATCAAAGGGTTTATTCACACCACTGAAACCTGAATGTCAAATCACCATGTGCAGTACAAACTCACAGCAGCTGCTGTGAGCTAAGCAAGACCAGAGAAATGGTTTCTACCAGCAGATTTTCATGACTTGCATGCACTGCGGTTGGGATACGACGCAGTCCAAATATTGGAAGCACAAACTAAAAAAATTCAAGTCTTAAAAACATCAAGTTTTAAACTGCATCACACATCTTTCCTCAATTAGGCAGAACTTAAGTTATGAAGACAGACTTACTCATATGAATTGAGTCATGCTCAGTCTAGGCTGTAAAGCCATGGATTTAGTTTGTAAACTGTCAATACTAAAGCATTTCTGTATAGACTTACACAGCTAGAGCATGCAGCAGTAGGGAGAAAACAGTTTTAAAAACATGATTACCTAAGATAAAGAATCAACAAATAATATACTTCCATATTCTAGCTAAACCAAAGCTCATACGTGCGCAATTACCAGAACTACCAGTGTAAAGTCTAGAAGTTACCTTCCTTCCTTCTGCTCTCCCCGACCTCGAAGTTCAGTGTTGTTTCAAAGACTTGCAAAAAACCACCATCTACCTGGAACCAACTCCAAATGTGCAAAGCAAAGCATCCATTCTTTACTTTGCTGTGAGCTGTTCACATTCAAGATGCCTTCCTCCATTTTTCATTTTACATTTAAAGTACACAAATACGAAAAATTGCCATTTCCAAGATGTCCCAGAACACTCTTGTAAGTGAAGACTACAGCAGGGAGTATAAAGCAGCACATTCAGCAACAGCTCATTCAGCCTGCTTTCTATGAAAGGAAAAGTGACAACAACAGCAGAGTTTTACTGTTCTATTGAGGAAACATCAAACCTGTAGATGATGTCTTACTGTAAAATGTAGCTAAATGTCATATAAGACCACAAAAGGGGCAGTACCTTTCAAAATGCTGCTACAAGTACCCTAAAGCAAACCGACGTCCTGATTCATGTTTCTCTGTCTTTCTTAAAAAAATAAGAGAATTCTGCTAAGTGCATCTTAACATTTCACTGTTAACGCAGCAGTTTGGTGAAGGTCTGTCAAGGGGTTAGACCAAAACCTGTCTATCAGTGCTTAACTACTAATTAAGGAAAAAAACATCTTTAGGGAATCCAAGGAGACAGCACTCTGCAGGGTTTTTTTGACAGGCAAACCAGAGTACAACCCAATTCTTCAGGTAACTCCCAGGATAGGCTTGTGTTCGTTTGGCTTTAGGCACTCAATTGATGCCACAGGCCACGTCACACCCATGAGTAAGCTTCAGAGAGGGAAAAGTGACAAGAGATGGCAGAAGAGAGGTCAGTTGTCTGAAGTCTTAGAAAGAGGTTCAGCAAACTGGATCCAGCCAAAGACAGTACATTCACTAATTCTTGTGGCAGGGCTTCCATACTCAACCTTGCATTCAGCTGGGAAAACACAGCAGCAGGAAGTTTGCCTGGATTTCACTGGAGGAAGAGATGTAGAAGACACTTCACCAAGTGACAGGCACACTGGGCTGTGATGACTTTTTCCCTGGTTAAGATCAACTAAAACTGCCAATTTCCTGGCTTGTTTTCCTACCCCATCTCAGTTAATAAAGATACTCTTCTAATCTCTCTCATTTCCTTCTTGATCAGATGCCCAGTAGTTTCTTGGGTTTGAAGAACTCGCACTTTGGAGCATCTTCAAAGCACCACCCAGGTAGTAATTTAGTTTTAAAACCATACGAGGAAAGTAGTATTCCCATTTCATAGCAGAAAATGGCTGTAAAATGCAAAGTTTATTCATGATACAAATACTGAGGATGTGCTTCAGTTTAAACTGATGTAGTTAGTTTAGAAAGAAGCACATGTGAAGCAATCTGATTTAGCTGAAGAAGCATCAAAGACACGATGTCCACTATGTAGATGTTCTTCATAACCTGATGTGTTATTTTCACATCACTTTGGAATTGTACCAGACATCCATGGCTTTAGTCGTGAGAATCTGATTATTTACAAGGTTGATCACACAGAGGGAAGACTAGGGATTTATTAAATGCCAAACTTCCCTAAAGTGATCCTGTAATTCGAGATTATCACTACCAAGTCAGGATTCCTTTTTTCCAGAGGGAGCCAGCACAGCTATAATAATTTCTCACTGTCTCCAGCAAGCTGTGCAGTTTCTTAGATGGCATCTGATACCGAAATCTCTTCAAGGACAAACAGTGATGCTTCAATCATCATCTCCTACCCTTCACACCCAACTAACTACCCTTGGGGTGAGTGCCCGCTTATTTTTTCTTTTTTAAATACAGGTAATCAGTGGCTTTTCTCTTTTTCATGTGGCATATTAAAGTGATTTTAGTACCAGATATATGAGTTAACTTTAGAAAGTTAAAAAGTTTATTAAAAAAACTTACAGTGGGGAGGAGTGGAGCTGCAGGAAAAACTCCAAGCACTTTGTGCCCTCTGGATCACGAACCAGTTTCAGGTTCCAGCCAAGTCTCAAACACACTGATTCCCATTTGAAAATTGACAGAACAGGTCCAACAGGCCTTACATGGCAAAATTTGTCTCCCTGTTTGCAAACCTTAAAACTCTTAATCATCTCAAGTCTGTAGGGATGAAAATCATCACATATTATGAACCTTATAGGACAAAGAGGGTTATTTTGTTACTAATAATATTTATTATTTAATAACTAACCCCATTTCTTACCCAAAGTTAACTGGTATAATCCTAGCAACGCCTGGCAAATTTAGGAGAGAGCATGTCTCGACCCTGACAATCCAGCTGTGATGTGTTTAGTTGGTGTTGGTGACAGCCCCATGGTTCATAGCAATGCATGCAAAAGTGGCACAAAAAGAAAAATCTATTTTAAGGAAGATCAAAAAATAAGATGCCTATAGAAATGTTATCAAATGATATTTTAAAAGGTCAAACTTAAAAAAAAAAAAAAACCTCAAAGAACTTAAGTTTTTGGGGGGTATTTTCAAGTAACCTAGCTTGCACCTTATAATTTGTATAGTTCACAATCTAGAAAATTTTGGGGTTGAAATGGTACATTTCCAACTGAAATATTTATGTGGAAAGCTTACAGTCTGCAACAGCAACACCATATTCCACCTCACCCAGGTGTACCTCTCTACACTACCAAACTACCGGATATATCAAACTATCTTGGCCTTTGATTTTCATCCTGTAATTTTTTCCTTTCTTTTACAAGTGTCATGTTTTAAAATATCCTCCACTGATGAAGTATTATAGAGTGAAGTACTCCTGCCAAAACCTACTTTCTTGGTAATCTGAGGATGGGGGTTAGCTTCTTAAAACATAAGCCAACACAGAATTAGAGAGGCAGGAAGCCAACATTTTAACAGTGCCTTTAGGCAAATGTTTATGAACACTTTCATGTTTTTTATAATTTCCAGTGAATATGGGTTTATAATTCAAAATTAAAGGTATACTGATATTTTCAGTTTAGCTTCTCTTCCCTTCTTTGAGTAAGGACTCGAATGGGATATGAGTGGAACAAAAAGGGGAATAAAATGCATTAAGGTAAAAAAAAATAAACATGCAAGCTCTCTCCCTCTAATGTAGTCCTTTTGCAGAAGGGAAAAGGTTTAAATTGAATATTAGGAAGAACTTCACTGAAAGGGTTGTCAGGCACTGGAACAGGCTGCCCAGGGAAATGGTTGAGTCCCCATCCCTGGAGATAATTAAAAGCTGTGTAGATGTGGTGCTGAGGGACATGGTTTAGTGGTAGACTTGGTGGTATGTTTACAGCTGGACTTGATGATCTTAAAGGTCTCTTCTAAATATAACAATTCTATGATTCTCTGAAAAACCCAAAGATTTCAGCCATCCACAGAAGGCTACAGCTTTATAAGGAAAACCAGAGTTGTTGCTCACACACGTACTTGTTACCTTTCTGGCTTTTCTGTGGCACTTGACTGGAAATAAGTTATCAGTTAATTTCTAGTTAAAAATGTTCTGCATAAGTATACGAGTCCTGAACCCATTCACAGCAGGAAAGAAACAGTTTTAGGAGCTAAAATTTATGAGTCCTAGTGAAAAACTCCCACCAAGAACAATGAAGAAGCAGGTTATGCCAGTTTTTACAGGACAGGAAGTAACTATTGAAGGCTGGCTGGTTTCCTACCATAGTCTTTTCTCCTCAGTTAAGTACAAGGACTGGAAGCTTAGAGGCACTAGGCTGGGTAAAAGTCACTTCTTGGTAATTCAATGTCTTTATTTACTTGTATAGCAAGCAAGAAAGAAAGGGGGAATAACAACTTTCATTTGAACATCAGTAGAACTGCCCTTCGAGAAAAAGCAATAAATGATATTTATATTTCCCTCTTTCTGTAAAACCGTGCAAGATCAGTATCTCTGTAGAGATTTTTCTGCAATCCCTTGTCCTGTTTTAACCCCGATCCCTGCTAAGTCTTTAGCTGAAAGTGCCATGTGACAGCACACCCGGAACACAAATCCTGGATGTACACGTTGAGGATTGGGAAAGAAGAGAAAACAACATCAGCATGGAAAGGAAAACTGCGTAAGCTATTGGAAAGCAAGCCCAAATCCCAGAGCAGCACACAGTGCAATTGTTCACAGGTTGCTGCAGCCAGAACATTTCTCCAGGGCCTGGGGAAGGGAAGGAGACTAATATTTTTACGACAGTCTCCACTCTGATTTCCTCTTGCCCCAGGTCTCTGACAGACCCCTCTGACCTCAGTTTCATTCTTGCCCTCCTGCCCTGGGTTAGCTCCAGGGCTCGGCTGCTGCGCAGGTCTAAGGGGGCTGCGTAGAATAAAATGTGTTTGGCAGCATTTCTGGCCCCACTTCTTCATTTTTGTTCTGTTTTTAAAAGTTACTAATAGTTTATTTAAGAGGAGGAGGAAAGAAGAATGTACCCCACATGCCAGGGAAACTTTTTCTTCTGGATTCTCATAGTGGCTCTTTGCCTTAAAAGGGAATCTTTGCTTGGCCTCCGGATGCTCTGCTGTAAACAGTCGGTGCCAAGGCATGGCAGGCATGTTAAGGATGACAAGTGCCATAACATTATTTCATAATGTTGCTTCTCAACAGAAAGCCCAAAACATTCTGTAGGGTCAAACTGAGTTCCAGCTGGTGCTGCTGGCACAGCAAGGAGAACATGGGGCATCTGCACACTGTGTCTCTGTGGTACATCAGGCCTTGCCTTTCCCTTTTGTAGGACAAACCTACTGGTGAGGGGTGCAGAGCCCAGCTGAGGGAACTGGGGTTGTTAAGCCTGAACTCCTGAGAGGAGACCGTATCGCTGTCTACAGCTACTTGAAAGGAGGCTGTAGTTAGGTAGGGGTGAGGCCCTTTTCCCAGATAGAAAGTGATAGGACAAGAAGAAATGGCCACAAGTTGCACCAGGGGAGGTTTAAATTGGATATTAGGAAAAATGTCTTTACTGAAAGGGTTATCAAGTGCTAGAACAGGCTGCCTAGGGAAGCAGTTGAGTCCCTATCCCTGGAGGTATTTAAAAGCTGTGTAGATGTGGCACTGAGGGACATGGTTTAGTGGTGGAGTTGACAGTGTTAGATTTGTAGTTGGACTTGATGACCTTAATTAAAGGCCTTTTCCAGCCTAAATTATTCTATGATTCTACTTCCCTCCCTCCTCCTCTCTTCCCTTGCGTGTCACCTCCTAGCACTAGCTCAGTGTTTGCCATACTGTTTGCCTGTGGTGGCACGTCAGCTGTACATTAACTGCCTTTCAAAGTACAGTGCTGAAACTCCGAGGTATTTGCTGGTGGCCAGGCACCACTGCTGCCCCTTCCCTTCCGCTCAGCAGCCCCCATCTTCTCTTCCATGCAGCCCTGGGAAGAATGGCTACAGACTGGGAAGAATGGCTACAGAGGCAAGGCCAGGCATGCAAACAGCTCAGTTAATGCTACAAAAATGCAGAGAGTGCATTCTTGTGGTAAAACACGCTGGACTAGAGTTTCCTTTTTCTCTGGGTGTACCTGCCAGAACTCCTCCCCCAGAGAGAGGAGGTATCCAGCCTCTCCGGTTACCTTTGGGGAGGGATCTTCCGACTGTATAATCCTTGCATTGGTCCAGGTTCCCCTCCAGTCAACACACTTGGAGGGGGAAGTGATGTCAGATGAGAGACAAATGCAATTTAAAAGGACCTATTCACTAGTAGAAATTACATAAATTACCTATCCAAGCAAATACCCTGTTCTTCATTTTGAAATGTTCTTTTACCTTCATGCCAAAAAGCTCTTGTATTGAAACGAGGAGGTGCCAATGTGAAGTCTCAGCAAGATTCTGTTCCCAAGTGATTTACTACAGTCCATATTTTTGGTAATTTGGGGATTAGTGAAGAAAAAGGACACAGGTATTTCCTAATGTTTATTTTCAAGAGCTCTGTGTGGAGCCAAATTAGGTCTGTGGTAAGAGAGATTCAGTAGGTCACAGATTAACAGTTTTGCAACATTTAATTTATCCAATGCTTAGAACAAACCATGCAGCAGAACACTGCATCACAGGTGCCCGAGTCCTGAGCCTGGGACACACGTGGGGGGTGGTTCTTGAGTTTTTGTTGTTTTCAATATTCCAATTGTAGGCAAACTCTGGCTGTCGGACAAAGGAAGCCAAAAACTGAGCAGGAGGAGGGCAAATCCCTGCTTGAGAAGGTGTCACATAGTATATTCTCCCCTGCTTGCAACTCCTCTTCCCCTTGCCTATGAGGCCATCTCATGCTAACTCTCCAGGGCATCTCTGCCCAGCCATTTGTCACTTCATCAGCTGAAAATACAGGCTGGAGCTCTGGGTTCTGGGATTTATCTTGTTAACATGCAGCTCATTTTAGTCCCCCGGCACACTCACTCCAAACCCACCAAACCCATACACAATACCAAGATAAGGATGCTCCTGTATCCTTGCCCCCCTTACAGAAAAAATGCCACTTGTATTCTAGCAACACAAATGCTTCCTCATCATCCTCCATTGCTAAATCTGCTCCCATACTGCAGCGAGACAGTATGAAGAGGATTCATTTCACCTAGCCACAGATATCTACATATCTACATGTTTCTATCTGAATTGGCCTTTTAAAGTCAGCAGAGAGAGTTTTTTCTCTATACTGGAAAACATTTCAGTCCAAGGCAGAGATCTATAGCATACCTTAAATTTCTTTAATTAAAACACACAAGCAAAGGACAAAAACAACTCTCAACTGGGAGCA